GTGTGTGGTGGTGTGTGTGTGTGACAGGGGGTGTGTAGTCGTGTGTGTGCGTGCGTGTGTGTGACATGGAATTGTGTGCATGTGTGTGTGACAGGTGTCTAGTGGTGTGTGTGTGACAGGGAGGTGCGTGTGACAGGGAGGGGGGTGTGTGTGTGACAGGGAGGTGTGTGTGTGAGAAGTGTGTGTGCGTGTGACAGGGAGGTGTGTGCATGTGTGTGACAGGGAGGGTTGTGTGTGACAGAGAGGTGTGTGTGTGTCTGTGTGTGTGTGTGTGACAGGAGGTGTGTAGTGGTGTGTGTGTGATGGAGGTGTGTGTGTGATGGAGGTATGTGTGTGCCAGGTGTGTATGTGATGTGTGTGCCAGACGTGCCCCCTGTGTCGCAGGGTCCCCTGGTGTTCCTGGAGCAGGCCCTGATCCAGTTTGCGCTGCGCAGCCTGCGCTCCCGGGGGTACACCCCCGTCTACACCCCCTTCTTCATGCGCAAGGAGGTGATGCAGGAGGTGGCCCAGCTCAGCCAGTTCGACGAGGAGCTCTACAAGGTGAGAAACCCCCCGGCTGCTCCCCCGGGACACCCGCTTTGGAGACACCACCACGCCACGTCCCCCACTGTCCCCTTGGGCCACCAGCTTTTGAGCCACCACCAGTGTGTCCCCTTCTGTCCCCTCCTGGCACCAGCCTTCTGACCAAGCCAGCACCATGCCATGTCCCCTACTGTCCCCTCGGGCCACCAGCTTTCCAACCGAGCCACCACCACATGTCCCCCACGACCTCCTTGGGCCACCAGCTTTGCAACTGACCCACCCCCACACCGTGTCCCCCACTGTCCCCTGCCAGCCGCACTGTGTCCCCCAGCTGATGTCCCCTCTGCCGTGGTGGTGGCTCCCTTCTTCTCCATCTTTACGGCTGCCACGGTTGCCATGATGGGGAGGTGACAGGGAGGTGGCCAGTCCCCATCAGACAAGGAGGTGACAGGGAGGTGGCTGGTCCCCATCCTGGCTGGTGGAGGCCGTTGGTGGCCTTTGGAAGGAGACCACCCAAGCAGCAGCTCCTGTCCCCCCCCGTTTCTGTCCCCGGAGCCCCTCGCTGCTCACCCCTGGAGCAGCTGAGGACATGGAGCCGGTGGCTTGTGTCCCCTCGCCAGGTGATCGGCAAAGGCAGCGAGAAGGCGGAGGACAGTTCTGTGGACGAGAAGTACCTGATCGCCACCTCGGAGCAGCCCATCGCCGCCCTGCACCGCGACGAGTGGCTCAGGCCCGAGGACCTGCCCCTCAAATACGCCGGGTTCTCCACCTGCTTCCGCCAGGAGGTGGGATCCCACGGCCGCGACACCCGCGGCATCTTCCGCGTCCACCAGTTCGAGAAGGTGAGAAGGAACCCTCATCCTTGCTCTTCTGCTCCACTCCCAGCTGGAGAACTGGGACCAGTTCTGGGCTCCCCAGTTCCTGAAGGACAGGGAACTGCTGGAGAGGGGACAGCAGAGGCTACAGAGATGATGAGGGGCTGGAGCATCTCTCTGAGGAGAAGCTGATGGACTTGGGTCTTCTCTGGAGAAGAGAAGGTCTTCTCTGAAGAAGAGAAGGCTGAGGGGGATCTGATCAACCTTGATGGTTGGGTGTCAGGAGGATGGGGCTGGTCTTTTTTCGGTGGTGCCCAGTGACAGGACAAGAGGAAATGGGCACAAACTTGAGCATAAGAAGTTCCACCTCAACACAAGGAGGAACTTCTTGACTTTGAGGGTGGCAGAGCCCTGGGAGAGGCTGCCCAGGGAGGTGGTGGAGTCTCCTTCTCTGGAGACATCCAAACCCCACCTGGACACGTTCCTGTGGGACCTGCTCTGGGTGGCCCTGCTCTGGCAGGGGGTTGGAGGAGATGATCTCCAAGAGGTCCCTTGGGATTCTATGACTCTGATATGGGGGACATTCCCACTGGGAATTTGGGGGGGGTTGTATCTATTGGGGAGCCCTGACGTGCCACCCACATCTCTGGGCAGATCGAGCAGTTCGTCTACGCCTCCCCCCACGACAACAAGTCCTGGGAGATGTTTGAGGAGATGATTGCCACCGCCGAGGAGTTCTACCAGGCCCTGGGCATCCCCTACCACATCGTCAACATCGTCTCGGGTAAGGACGAAGGCTTGGGCGGGGGAGGGCCACCTCCTTCTGGGCTGCGGTGGCCACCTCGGTGCGGTGGCACGGGGATGGGATTGTCCCCACTGTCTCTTTCAGAAGAGCATGGGATTGTCCTCACTGTCCCTTCCAGGAGGACATGGGATTGTCCTCACTGTCCCTTCCAGGAGGGCATGGGATTGTCCCCAGGGTCTCTTCCAGGAGGACACAGGGATGGGGTTGTCCCCACTGTCCCTTCCAGGAGGACACAGGAGGGGTTTGTCCCCACTGTCCCTTCCAGGAGGACACAGGAGGGGTTTGTCCCCACTGTCCCTTCCAGGAGGGCATGGGATTGTCCCCACTGTCCCTTCCAGGAGGGCATGGGATTGTCCCCACTCTCTCTTCCAGAAGGACATGGGATTGTCCTCACTGTCCCTTCCAGGAGGACACAGGGATGGGATTGTCCCCACTGTCCCTTCTAGAAGGGCACATGATTGTCCCCACTGTCCCTTCCAGGAGGACATGGGGATGGGATTGTCCCCACTCTCTCTTCCAGAAGGGCATGGGATTGTCCCCAGTGTCGCTTCCAGGAGGGCACAGGAGGGGATTGTCCCCAGTGTCCCTTCCAGGAGGACATGGGATTGTCCCACTGTCCCTTCCAGGAGGGCACAGGAGGGGATTGTCCCCAGTGTCCCTTCCAGGAGGACACGGGGTTGTCCCCACTGTCCCTTCCAGAAGGACTTGGGATTGTCCCCACTGTCCCTTCCAGGAGGGCACAGGAGGGGATTGTCCCCACTGTCCCTTCCAGGAGGACATGGGGTTGTCCCCACTATCTCTTTCAGGAGGACATGGGATTGTCCCACTGTCCCTTCCAGGAGGGCATGGGATTGTCCCCAGGGTCCCTTCCAGGAGGGCACAGGGATGGGTTGTCCTCACTGTCCCTTCCAGGAGGGCATGGGGTTGTCCCCAGTGTCCCTTCCAGAAGGACATGGGATTGTCCCCAGGGTCCCTTCTAGGAGGACACAGAGATGGGATTGTCCCCACTGTCCCTTCCAGGAGGGCACAGGATTGTCCCCAGGATCCCTTTGAGGAGGGCACAGGATTGTCCCCACTGTCCCTTCCAGGAAGACATAGGATTGTCCTCACTGTCCCTTCCAGGAGGGCATGGGGTTGTCCCCACTGTCCCTTCCTGGAGGACATGGGTGTCTCCCCACTCTCTCTTCCAGAAGGGCATGGGATTGTCCCCAGGGTCCCTTCTAGGAGGACACAGAGATGGGATTGTCCCCACTGTCCCTTCCAGGAGGGCACAGGAGGGGATTGTCCCCAGTGTCCCTTCTAGAAGGGCACAGGGTTGTCCCCACTGTCCCTTCGAGGAGGACATGGGATTGTCCCCAGGGTCCCTTTGAGGAGGGTATGGGATTGTCCCCACTGTCCCTTCCAGGAGGACATGGGATTGTCCCTACTGTCCCTTCCAGGAGGACACAGGGATGGGATTGTCCCCAGTGTCCCTTCCAGGAGGGCACAGGAGGGGATTGTCCCCAGTGTCCCTTCTAGAAGGGCACAGGGTTGTCCCCACTGTCCCTTCTAGGAGGACATGGGATTGTCCCTACTGTCCCTTCCAGGAGGACACAGGGATGGGATTGTCCCCACTGTCCCTTCCAGGAGGACATGGGATTGTCCCCACTATCTCTTCCAGGAGGACTTGGGATTGTCCTCACTGTCCCTTCCAGAAGAGCACAGGAGGGGACTGTCCCTACTATCTCTTCCAGGAGGACATGGGATTGTCCCCACTGTCCCTCCCAGAAGGGACAGTTGGAGTGTCCCAACTCCTGGAAACTCCCAGGACCATTTAACCCTGGGGCAGGAGCTCCACGTTCCTTCCCAAATCATCTCAAGAGGCTTCACACCATCACCCATCCTGCCATCCCCGGGTGGGACGGGCGGACTCGGGGTGGGGTGACACCCCCCAGAAGACCTCATTCCTCCGTGTGTGTGTGTCCCACCATCCCCAGGTTCCCTCAACCACGCGGCCAGTAAGAAGTTGGACCTGGAGGCCTGGTTCCCCGGATCCGGAGCTTTCCGGGAGCTGGTCTCCTGCTCCAACTGCACCGATTACCAGGCGCGACGGCTGCGCATCCGCTACGGCCAGACCAAGAAGATGTTGGACAAGGTGAGGTCTCCAGGAGGTTTTGAGGGGGGTTCCTGCTCACGTTCCCCCCCCTCCCCAACCCTGGTCACCTCCCCTTGTGTGTCCCCTTGTCCCCCTCTCTGCAGGTGGAGTTTGTCCACATGTTGAATGCCACCATGTGTGCCACCACCCGCACCATCTGCGCCATCCTGGAGAACTACCAGACCCAGGAGGGCGTCCGCGTCCCCGAGAAGCTCCGGGACTTCATGCCTGAAGGTAACCCCCCCCCAAAAATCTCCCCCCACCCCCTTTCCCCAGGTGATGTCCCCAAGTGTTCCCAAGAAGCTCCGGGACTTCATGCCCCCAGGTAGAACCC